CCGATCAGCATCCGGTCAGTACTGGCAGCCAATGGCTGGGGGAGGGGGGCAGTCCCCCTGTCAAAACACATTAGCTCAGCGGGGATATTGCTATGCTAACATATCAGATAGTACAGCAAGCTCATCCCTAGCTCTTCATTTTTTTTTTCGTACAGTCAACTGGTTTGAACGAAAAAAAGAACTGATAGTGTATACCAGGCATAAGTATCTAACGTTTTACTAAAATTTTAGTATTGGACAATGTCCAAAGACACTTCACTGGTTTACCTGCTCTAATGTACAGGAGTGTCATTTATGATAGGTAGACAGGATATGAAACCCTAGGTTGCCTTTTAAGTAAAATTAACTGGGAGGGATGATAAGGGTAGGTGATACTTTGCTTAAGTTTTCACAAACATTCAGGGAGTAATAATATCATCAAATTAATCCTTACCAAATGCAAGGGCATATTATCCTTTTAAAAATTAGACATTAAGTTGTCAGTTGGTTCGTAAAGAGAACTTTATCAAATATGCAATCGGAGAGATAAGAATTTCATGCTGTTTTAATTACACAACAGCTCTGAAGTACTGTACTTGTGCACTGAGATTAATCTTCAGAAAGGATTATGACAATAATGCGCTTCTCAGCAAAATGTCACCTTCCTTATTTTACTAAAACCTGAACTTACTCTCTAGCTGAGAGTAAATTGAATATTTGTAAGTATCATTAACTCAGAAATCTCCATTCTGCAGTTCTTTAAAACTGAACTCTTGGCTACCAGTTTCCATTCTACCAGTTTCAGTGTGGCACTGTAGGGAATGACAAAAGCTAATTTCAGGAGAGATTCTGGTCATCATATTAGGTAAATGTAAAATAATAAAGGGTAATTGTAAAATCTAGTAAAACCACGTTTTTCTACATTATTGTACATTATTGCTTTCACTCTGAAATTCACCCTTTGAAAAAAACAGATAGAAGCATACCATCCCCATTGCACCTGTAAGCTTGTTTTACATTCTTTGCATTAAGGTAAAAAACCTTCTGTGTTTAGTTACCACCCACTCTCCCTTATACTGCTGTAACTCCCTCCTCACTGTCCTACCTCATCGCAGGCTATCCCCACTCCAGTCCATCATGAATGCTGCTGCCAGACTCATTCACCTTACTAACCGTTCTGTATTGCCACCCCTCTCTGCCAAACCCTCCACTGGCTTCCAAGTGCCCAACGGATAAAATTCAAAACACTAACACTGACGTACAAAGCCGTTCATAACACTGCCCCTAACTACATCACAAACCTTGTCTCTAAATACCACCCAAACCGTACTCTCTGCTCCTCGCAAGACCTCTTACTCTCTAGCTCCCTTGTCTCCTCCTCCCATGCTTGTCTGCAGGATTTCTCACGGGCTTCACCCATCCTCTGGAACTCCCTACCCTATGGCCTACCCTGCTCATTTGTAGGCGCAGTCTGAAAACTCATCTCTTCAGGGAAGCCTACCCTGACCCCGGCTAACTACTAGAATCCCCTACTCCCCCAACCACTCCATCCCCCCCAGCTAATTGCCTCTTGTACCACTATCCTCTCCCTCCTAGATTGTAAGCTCCAAGGTGCAGGGCCCTCTAATCCCTTTTGTATTGAACTGTAATGTTACTGTACTGCCTCCCTCCATAATGTAAAGCGCTGAGCAAACTATCGGCGCTATATAAGTCCTGTATAATAATAATAATACTTATCTGAGCCCAATTTCGATCCAGAGCTGTGAATGAAAGCAGCGGCTCACTCTAATCTCTCTCCTCACTGGATATTGAGGCAGCAGAGGAAGCCTTTGGCTCCTACTGCTGTCAATCACATCCAGTAAGGAGAGATCAGGAGGAGGGGCTAAGTCAAGACACACACACAGCATGGCTCGGGTGCTCCCATTCAAGTAGCTTGCTGTGGGGCAATCGGGGAAGTGGGGAGACAGGAGCGCTAGTGGGAGACCCCAGAAGAGGAGGATCAGGGCTGATCTGTGCAAAAGCATTGCACAAAGCAGGTAAGTATGCAGGTGTATAATTAGTGCTTAGTTCACCTGCCCAATCAGAGTCCACAAATCCTATGAAGTTCAAATCACCAACTGCAGACAGCTTCAGACTCAAGTCTTTTGTTTGTTTAAGATATCGCACGAGTCTCTTAATTTATGTCCAGTATCTTTGAGGTGGTTCACTCCTGTGTCAAGCAACATGGCAGCAGCAATGTCTGAACATATAGTGGCTGCAATATATAGCAATTCCCCACTGCTTGTCTGTACTGACCATTAGTAGGAATAAGATCTTCATCCCCTTCCATTTTTTGGGTATGCTGTGTCCATGGTAGTACTTGATTCTTTGGCTTTAGTCATGCCAAACTGCTGAAGCGCTTCCTCAATTTTGAATTTCTGATTTAACAGGAAGCTGCCATCTTCTTTAGGCTGTACATCAATTTCTACGTAATATGCCACATCCCCAAAATCTTTAGTCTCAAAATGCTGGTTAAGGTGAATAAAGACATTTCTGTAATTTGCCATGTGACTCATAGCTCCAGAATCAACACACCATGCCTGCAAAGATGAGGTGCAGCTTTTGGATTGAAAAACATATTCATTATCTGAAGAAAAAAATCAGTTTCTTCATTCACACTTTTGGCCTTTTGGAGTTTAGTTTGTTTTTGCAGTCTAGTTTTCCAGATATTGCAATCTGCTTTTAAATGGCCTTGTTTCTTGCACACAAAGCAAACATATGTTTCTTGTTGCATGTTACTGTATTTATTCCTATGTTTAATCTTTAAAGCAGACTATGCAATAAAATCACTGTCACTATTAATGCTTTGAATTTTACGCTTATATGCATCCATAAGTTTGCCCTTAAAATATTCTAATGTCAGTTCATCATCTGGGTGTGCATCAAGTGTTGAGACAAGCATTTCATAACTTTCTGGTAAACCACTAAATAATAGTGCTGCGACATGAAAATCTTTTTTATTTTATATTTTATTTCTTCTCCATTACCATTCAGGTGTTCAGCCATTTCCAAGTTGTGCCTTATGTAATCCTGAATATATTGCATGCATCTTTTGTAATCCTTCCCACATTTCTTTAGCAGTTTCACATTTACCTATATGTATGATTTGATCATCTTCTATGATAATAGAGATTGTGCTCTGAGCTTTCTGATCTTTCTCTATCCACTCATCTGAAGGGTGTCCTGGCCTGACTTCATGTATACATTTCCAAGTACCTTCTCTTAATAGCAGCGTTTTCATCTTGAATTTCCAAGACTGGTAATTCTGATTTTTCAGGTTTCAAATTAAAGCTTTGTTGCAGCTGTGTTACTGGCCATTTTTTTTTTCATTTCTTTTGCAGTCTTCTTTCTGTTGCTGTATCTTGCATTTGCTATTTGTTGTAGTCAGCTATGTCTGGGTATCTCCCTATGCCTGCGCCCATAACCTGTTAAATTCAATCTACAAATTCTACAAAACAGACAGCGCACAGGCCACATGTGTTTATGCAGCTACAAACCCAAAAACTCCTCCATCCACTGGCCTAAGAATACATTTCCACTGAACACTGACACTGATGTAGTTGTTGTACAAAAACACATGAACATTGCATTTAAACAAAAATTTGGAGTGCCATAGTTTGTCACCATTTCTTGGGTGCACAAAATTTTGAGTCTTGATATGTTTGATATCTATTTACTCAATACAACATAATTGTTTTCTATTTTTACAAAAAAATGGGCATTACATTGTGTTTGCGTGCATTAAAATTATTTTATTGTATTTTTTCCCAAAAATGTGCATTTGATAAATGGATGCACAAAAATAATGTGACGTATAACAATTGCAACTACCACCATTTTATTCTCCAGGGCCTCTGCATTCAGAAAATATATACTGTTTTGGTATTATAGGTAATTTTCAAGCCAAAAATGCTGATTTTAGCATGGGTGTGAAAAAATTGCCCCAGACAGCAAATAGTTAAAAGATAAATTTGAGATGAAAAAAAAAAAAACATTTATACTTACCCAGGTGGCTGCAGCATCATTTCCTCCAAACTACTATAGCATCATGTGACGTCATCGAATGAAACAAATGCATTTGTTAATGTCGTTATAACTTTTTTTCGTATTTGTTGACAATTGTTACTATGTCATTTTGGAGATTCAATGTTGAAAATGAAATTTTCATCTGAAAAACTAATTAAGAAGAAATGCACATGTCTACCAAGAACTGAGCTATCAAAGACTCAGTTCTCGGTCTTCAGAGTACAGAGAGTCAGTGAATGTCCATCACCGACTCTCTGCTCTGCCCCTCCAGCGCTCACTGGAGCACTGGGCTGTGGAGGGGGTGGGAGCGGCAGATGCGGACTCTCAGCATCTCTCTGAGAGGCTGAGCCAGCTGCCAGTTCAGGCATCTGGGTGGATCGTGAGCCTGGACTGGCTGAGGGACATAAGGCAACAATGAGCTTTAGTCTGCTGTTGGCTGAATATGAGTCACAGGAGTTCAGAACTAAATGCACTCCTGCGATCTCCAGGGGAAGAATGGCCCAAAGAGCTTTGGCCATACTTCTCTTTTAAACTTATGTGGCCCCTTTTTCTCCTCCTTTCTGGCCATTAGAGGTGTAAGAATTTTTACTGAAAGAGAGCCCTGCTGTTCTTCATCTGACAAAAGCTACACTTCCACATGTAAGTTTTCTTCTCAATACTTAAAAAAAAAAATGTATGACCCCTTTTTCTGCTACAACATGTTGTAGGCTGCAGTTATTATTATAATGTCAATTACCAAAGTGCTATAACCTTTTTATATTATATTTTACATAAATAATATATATATATATATATATATATATATATATATATATATATATATATATTGAGAAGATGTATTCCACTCAATTTGTTTTATTTGAGTTTTATTTGAGTTTGAAATGTCTGGGTTAGATTGTGTATACTGTACAAACTTACACTAAGAAAATTGACTATTGTTTTTTTTTGCCTTCTAGGGGCATTTCTTATCCCCTATTTCTTAACCCTTATCTTTGCTGGGGTTCCCTTGTTTATACTTGAGTGTTCTCTGGGACAATACACATCTATTGGAGGTCTTGGTGTATGGAGACTCGCGCCAATGTTTAAAGGTATATGAGAAATTATTTTTAAATTATTTATTAGCACCGTGCTTTCTATTGTGTTTTCCATTTATGTTACATAGGTACATGTTATTAATACTATTTGTGTGTGTAAATGTTGAAATATATATAAAACTGTACAAATATGTATACCATGTCAAATAACTTATTAATGTGTAAAAAAATAATGTGTGATATTTATGTCCTAAACTAAGGAAGGAGTCCCTTCTGGAAAACTTGACTGAGGATATACAAAAATGTAACATACTTGGACACAAAAGGCTGTGAGAGTTTAGGTGGCAGATGGATTCTTAGGAAAGAAACAAACCTTTATATTGTGTACAAAGCTAGACAATAACAAACTGCTTTTTCATTCTGGTTGACTTGTATGGGGAAAAGCAGAAGTTCAAATGCAAATAAAAGTCCATCTATACATGTTCTTTCTGACTGGATCTGTTAAAACATCAGTTTTTGGTGGTCTTACCCTTTAACAGGAATATATTTGTCTTAGTTTCTCACAATCTACACCATACAAGTGTAGTCTGTCGAGGTGCCCAGACTTATTGGAAACTAATTACTTGATCCCCTTAGTCCTTCTATATTCAGATCAGGTCTAGTAAAAAATTTGTGAGGCTTTTTTCTGAACAGTCTGACATAACATTTCTTTGTAGAGGCAATCAGCCAAAATATTACGTTTTTTAACCATTTTTTTTTAAGTGTATCAGATGATCCTTTTTCAATGCAGTCCTTTCATTTAGCATATCTTATCTAATCTAAAGTTGAGAAAATCTCAATCAAAATAGATTTTTCATCCTAAATTTTTTTTTCTTTTGTTTTTTATTAAATATGTTATCAGCTACAAAATATGATCTGTAACAGATTGAAAATTAAAATTTTGTATATGGTTGAAAATTGAAGCATGTGAGTGACTAGCATTTTATTATGAAAATCTTTCTCTCTCTGTCTCTTATCATCGTCTGCACATTTGTTTTCTCTACAGGTGTGGGGCTGGCTGCTGCTGTTCTCTCCTTCTGGCTAAATATTTACTATATTGTTATTATTGCCTGGGCCATTTATTATTTATATAACTCATTCACTACGGTAAGTATCAGTACATTTGTATTCCTTGTGAGCTTGTTTAGTAAACTGATTTACAATGTAGTTATGTAATATGTGACTTTCAAAGTGTATCCCTTGCTTCAAAGCTTAAAGCTGACATCCGGGCAGATAATAAAACAACACACCAATTAATTCAGCCATGTTTTCATGAAAAAATCATGTAGTCAAGGAAGTAAACTCAACTACTGTATTGTAAGGACCTGGATTTGGCTTAGTATCAACACCCTGCCATCGTCCTACACAGCAGAACTCAGACTGGAAGAGGTAGGGGCAGTACTAGGTGTGCTGTCTGCATATGTAAGCAGAGTGAGCAGCGGTATAAACTTAATAGTATGCTGCTGCTCCTTCGCTGTCCAATCAGCAGAGATGATGCCATTTTTTATCTTTGCTGTAATAGAAAAAGTGATGTCATCCTCCTATGCTGCATTACGGGACTGTGCAAATCTCAGAACTGGCCAGACAGAAATGCAAATCCTTTGGCAGGTAAAACAGCACCTACATACTGTATGTATTTTAATGGCACATTGTTTGTTTGAAGTTCAGCTTTAATAGCTCTACTTTTCTGTGTAAGAAAAATGATATTGGAATTTTTCTAAATGGTAATAGAAGTCTGAATTTGCTGTCCATGGTGCTGGATTAAATTCATATACATTATATCTGCCAAATCAGATGGCATTAACTAGAAGGTCACTTCTTTTGTTTGTCTTCCTTCTGCCAGCAAAAACACATCCATGCACTGGTTACTAGGACTGAGATCTTATCTATCTGTGGTCTCCAAACTGTGGCCTGGGGGCCGGATGTGGCCCTTTGCTTGCCCTTATCTGGCCCTTGGGGCACTATTCCACCTACTGACACCAATGATGAGGCAAGATTCCCCCTACTGACACAATCAATGGGGCACTATTCTTCTCATTGACATCAACAATTGGGCACTATTCCTCTCATTAAAGCCAATGATGGGGCACTGATGCCGGGGCATTTTCTACTCCCGCTGTCCACAATCCAGCCCCCCTAATGCCTGAAGGACAGTAAACTGGAAAGTTTGGGACCCCTGCTATATACTAATATCAAAAAGCTACCCAAAAGTAACAGCATAAAATAAAATATCTCATAGCTCTGGACAGGTGAGGTAGCATGGGACAGATATGGATGCATCAGCAAAGGACAGACCCAAGATTATAGTTAATAATACCAATGAATCCTAAGGGTGTTTTTTTATCTTATATCTTGTTATATTTTAATTTATCAAAATATATAATTATGGCAGTTTTTGTATTGTTTGAAAACAACATGACATAAGATTAAAAATCCCTTTACATAAGGATATGATTCAGTTGTAAAATAAAGTACAGCCAGTATAACCAGTGGGAAAAGATTTCCTCTAATCTGACTGCAATAAACTATTTGGTTGTTTTTGCATGCTTTGCTTTGTACATCATTATTGTTGTTTATTTTGTTATTTTTAAATTTGCCAAGATCAATGGTATACATGTATCAGTAAAGAAATCGTAGAATATATGATGTGAAATTAGCAGAATTGTGGTAATAGGTTAGTTGCATCATATTAACCTCCCTGGCGGTATTCCCGAGTGTAGCTCGGGGTAAAGTTTCAGTACCAAAAGCGGTAACCCCGAGCTACACTCGGGCTTACCATGCGGCGTTGCTCAGGGATTCCCTGCAGCGCTTACCTTGTCCTTCGCTCCTGCGATGCATGCCCCCCGGCCATCTCCTCCAGCCGATGCTGGCATCCGGCTTCCGTGTTCTGGTCCCTGCGAGCGTCGGGACATACGGGGGCCGGAACTGTCGGCAAATTTAAAACTTTTAAAAACTGAAATTTTCTAATAAACGAATATTACATAGTAAAACATTACTGTTTCAAACCATTTCACATACATTTTGCCCCGAGTGCTTTGTCCTGTGCCCTGCCTGCATTTTTACTGTTCTTTCTGCCTGGAAACTGAGAAATGTCCATGGTGTCCAAAAAGCGTCCCTTTAGGTCAAAAGCGGTTTTAGACCAGCTAGAGAATAGCGATAATAAATCAGAACCACTTGCAGAATTGAGTGATAATGATTTGTGGGGAAATTCATCATCATCAGACACTCAAAACGATTTTGCGACTTTGCTCAGCGATGTGCGAACTTGGCGCTATATTTCAAATTTCAGTGTTTTGGTTTGATTATATTATTGAATTAAATTTATTATTATTATATTATTATTTTGTATGATTATTTATTAAATTATAATTTAAGATTTCGTGTTTTAAGTTTTATCCTACCCGGGATGTTTACTAGACTCTTGTTCAGACAGATTTCAGTGAGTTATTCCTAAAAATGCAGGCCTACAATAAAAAAAATACATATTTCCATGCAAAAAAATTTACCGCTTTCAGCACAGAAATATGGACATAATCATACCGCTAGGGAGGTTAATATTTTTAAAAGTGTAACCCAGTCTTTTAAAAACACATACAGTATATCTCACCTATAATGGTTTGAAGTATCTCTCATATTTAATTAGAAATGTTCCCAAATGTTTGCATACCTGAATTTTATGAGCACAATGGATATAGTATTGTATTGCTTGTATTTGCAGTATGCTATTGCAGATGTAATGTTTCCATGCATTTAACCTATTTGACAATAAAACTTAACTTTTAAAATTTTAAATAATTTTTGACCTAATATATTTTTTGTTTAATCTGCAAACAGTAGATCTCTCATTACCATTTTATTATCTGAAATGATGGTTCCTTTCTTTCATCCAACCCCCTCTTGGTCTCACAATCTTCCCCTATATTTTTGTCTCTTTCTCCTATTCTTCTTTTATCCTCCATGTCTTTTATTCTACACTCACTATCTTTCTGTCTGTCTCTTACAGACTTTCTATTTCTCTAAACATTTTCCTTTTTTTATTCTTTCTGTCTGCCTCTCTCAATTTTTCTAACTCCTGATCTTGCAGGCTCTCTCTTTTTATCTGTCTAGAAATGTTTCTTCACTTCTATGCAATTTACATCTCGACTATATTTCTTTATACCTTTCCTTATAGATCTGCTGTTTGCAGCTAACAAATTTAATTAGTGTCCAAAGTTAAAGGAATGGCTTTTATTGCCAACTTGCTTTATCAAAAATAGTGTCTTCATCAAGAGTAGTGCAATTTAGTGCCATCAATCAGTGCACGGTGTACCAAAAAATCATGGTATCTTGTATTTACAAGCATTAAGGAATAATAAATATTCACAAATCTTTATTCTGTTGCCATACAAAACAACATATATTTCAGAAAGGTGGGTTTATTCTTTAGGCAGGTGATAGGTTATTCCTTAGACTTCGTGGATTGATTACCAGTATCTGACAAAGATGAATGGGAACTTAAATATCAGATGGGAAGTCCACTTCCTTTAAATGGGCACATTTTTTAAGCTTTTGTTAGATGGTTATATAGTAAGGTTGAGAAAAAACACAAGTCCATCAAGTTCAACCAATAGGAAAAAGCAATGTAGACAACTATATACAGAATGCTATATGCACAGTTACTCCAGAAGAAGGCAACCCCCCCCCCCCATAAAGCACGGTACAATTTGCTCCAGCAGGGGACAAAAATTGTTACTGATCCCCTGACAGCAGTCCACAGCAGTCCACAGCAGTCCAATATTCCCTGGATCAACAATCTCTGGCTTCATTAGCTATAAATGTTAATATCCATTTACATTTCTTGTATTTAGGAATACATCCAGCTCATTTTTAGAACAATCTACCGAGCTGGCATTTTTTTTAGGGAGTCTATTCCAAATTTTTGTAGCACTAACTGTGAAGAAACCTTTCTGTATGTGGAGGTTAAATCTCTTTTTTCCAGATGTAAAGAGTAACCCATTGTCCTTTGTAATGATCTTAACCACCTGCTACTCCCTAACAGTGGATTTACTGCTAGTGGGTGGCAACTGCAGGCTCAGCAACGTACCTGTTTGTTGCTGAGTACATGCACACTGGCGTGCCCCCTGGTCCATGCAACAGCACAATCCCCTAAGCGCTGTGTCCACTGGACACAGTGGATCACGACACTCGGTACCCAGCCACTGTGTTGTGGCTGGGGTATCATATGTCCAATCACAATGATCACATGAAAACTTGTAAGCAAACTGTCATGAATGGCTTTCATAACATTTTGCTTACTGTTGTGAAGCTGTGATTTGTCACAAGTAATCACATGGTACCTGGGCCAATCACAGCATCCATTACCATGTAATCACTTTTGACCAATCACAGCATCACAATAGTAAATTCTAAGTTATGAGTGAAATCCATGACAGTTCAAAGGATTGCTTATAACAGTGATCATCACTGTTATAAGCAAGAATAGTGTAAAGAAAATCTCTGATCACCTCCCCAGGGTGGTACAGTGTCATTATGGTGACACTGAACTACTTTGATAATAGTATGTAAAGAAATTGTCAAAAATTAAAAAAAAAATGTTAAAGAAAAAATGTTTAAAAATTGGATTTAGAAATAAATAATTAAAGTATTACTAAACCCACAACAGTAAAATTAGTTTGTATATGCAGTAAAGCATGCTTGTTATACTCACTGTGTGAAACCAAAGGGATTAATCCTCTGCATTGTGTAAAAACACTGTTTGATCCTGACTTCTCTGATCCTCCCCTTCTTCGAGTGTCCCCCTCTTATCTCCTGATATCGTGTGGAGATACTTTGCACATGCTCAGTTTGGTGTGTGTTGCTAGAGAGATTTTTCTTTTTCTTGAGAGAGTGCATGTGATCAGCACAGGGCCAATCAGCAGTGTCCAGACAGGGGTCAGGGGTCCTGCATCCCACCAGAGCAGAATGAAAACTCCTACAAGTTTTAACATGTGCTCGGCTGGACACTGATAGACATCACAAGACTGCTATATACTGCTGATGAGAAAAGGTATTTAGCAGTTTATATTTACTTAAGTCATTGCATTTCCATGTTCTGTGTACTGTGGGGGACCAGATACAGTGAATGCAGGGTCCTGGGTTTAGCAACAGTTTACAGCAACATACTGTCACCAGTCAGTATTACTAATCACCACCACACCTGTCATATGATGATGCTGTACTGCACTAGTGACAGAATGTAAAAAAAGAAAATGAGACAAAAAAATTACAACTTTAAAAACCTCACTATGCCTCTTACTAAATACCTTGGACTATCTACTTTTCCTGACATTTTGGGGCGTCAAGAAATGAGATAGAACGTCAGTACATTAGGACTGATCAATTTTCAGATATACACAATAGTTTGTAGACTCTGTATCTTTCACACAAACAAAATAATATACACCAATTTAAGTTATTTTCACTAAAGAAATGTAGCAGAATATATTTTGGGCTAAATTTATAAAGAAAGATTATTTATTTGCAAAATTTTAAAACAGAAGCAAAGAAAAGCTCTCCATATTTTTGCATTTATTTACCAAAAAATTAAAAAAAAAGCCCAGTGATGATTAAATACCATCAAAAGAAAGCTCTATTTGTGTGAAAATAATGATATAAATTTCATTTGGGTACAGTGCGCTGAAAAGCAAAAAAATGCCCTGGCCATTAAAGTGAAAAAAGTTAAAGTGAATAACTCTGCATCAATTTCACTATATGAACCTCTTATGTATTTATAAATGTTGATCATATACTCTCTTAATCGCCTCTTCTCAAGAGAGAACAAATTTAGCTCAGCTAATCTTTCCTCACATCTAAGGTCCTTCATGCCACTTATCAGTTTTGGTTGCCCTTCTCTGTAAAAATGTTGATCGCTTTATTTAGATAACTGTGTCTGTGGAACTCCAGTCCATTTTTAGTTTAGAACAGCTTGGACAAAGGAGAGAAACACAGCCAAGTTGCTTTATTGCTGTATCTCATGGGGTAGGATTATTTCTTACTCCCTATTCCAGATGACAACTATTTCAAGGACAGAAAAGAAGTTTCCCTTTGTGGATCACATACAGCAAAACAAACCTTTCAGAGGTGCTAATAATTCCCTGCTCTTATGGAGAAATTTACCCCTACTCCCTGTTTTAATTACCATTTTCACCAGGACAGGAAGTATTGGTGAAATTCCCCCCCAAATGGACACAACCAACAACTAAAAGCAAGGGCTTTAACAAATATAAATGTCTAGAGTTCCACTATATTCATTATTTGTGTGTATTTTATGTTTTTTTTTTTCATGTCTTTTTGTAACCACTTAGGCTCTACCTTGGAAACACTGTGACAATGCATGGAACACGGAGCTCTGTTTCTCCAATTATAGTTATGCCAACACCACCAACATGACTAGCGCTGTGGTTGAGTTTTGGGAGTAAGTTAATTTTTCATCTTCTGGACTTTATTACATGTGAATATGCGTATTGTTCGATTAAAATGGATTTAATGATGATTGTTGTGGCATGTATAAATATTGACTTATTTAAAGAGAAACTTTGATCTTAGATCTTTAAAAATAACACATTAAAGCAGAAATAAGGGGAAACATTTTTTTGAATCATGCAGTGGGGTCGGTGCCACACTTCATGGGCTAACTGCTTGTTTTTGTCAAGGGGTGATAACAGTGAACTTACCGAATCCGCTGATCCTTGGAAAGCAAGGCCAGTCCCTGTCTTGTGAATGGACTGTTCCTGACATCATCATGCCCATAGACCGGCTCCGGATGTGAGGATGGCAGGAACAGTCCACTGCTGGACGTGAGGGAGCATGGTTTTCCGTAGGATCGGAGGACAGGGTAAGTATAGATATTCCCTAACTTCCTGGACAAAATGGGCAGTTTTCTCATGCAGTGCGGGCACAGCCCTACTGCATGGTAAAATAAAAAATTTACATGGAGTTCTGCTTTAAAAAAATTTGTCTTTGTTACAAAAGTTGCTAATATACTGCTGCTATGTACTTTAGCTGGTCCAGTGGTGGACACATTGGGAGAGATTTACTAAAACTGCTATAAAGAGAGATTGCAGCACTAATCTGCAGCTATAGAGCTGCAATGTCTCTTTATAGTACTTATAGGATCTTGGTATATTGGTATCTATTGCCTGCAGCTATATCTATTGTATTTTTTTGGATTAGTGCTGACCTTATTTTGTTTTTTGTATTGTACAAAAACTGGTGCACACAGAATCTGGTGCAGCTGTGCTTAGTAATGAATCAGATTCTAGGTCTTATGGTCAAAACTTAAAGGATAAAAATAATAAATGCACATTTTTTATTTTTGTCTGCAGGAGCTTGGAAAGTATTATACCAGCAATCAGTAGAATATCTGCTTGCTGTACAGGATGTATGGGATGTACGGGATGTATGAGCAAGCAGATATTCTGACTGGAAGCTTGAATGAACTACCACGGTGCTCCACAACACTGTGGTAGTTCATTGAAAACTACAATCCCACAGCTTCTAAGGCTATCGGGGCTTGCAGTTCATTCATTCACGGAAGTCTGTGAATGAATGACGCGCCCGTGTGGGTGGAGCCCCGCATGGCTGAGCTGTTTTCAAATTTGTTTTCAAATTTGACTGATAGTATGGGGAGACTTAAGAAGGAGAGAGGTGGCGGGCAGCTATGGGAACATGTTAAATGTTCCACCCTAAAAACGGGTGGAACATGTAACACGTTCCCAAAAGTGAACTTATCCTTTAATCGAACAAGCTGAAGATAAAAGCTGCTTGGTTACTGTGCACAGCTGCACCCGATTCTGTGTGCACCAGTTTTAGTAAATCCCCCATTGCACCGTGGGCTGTTTTCAATTTATGGGCCACCTCCATTTTATTTGAATCATGAATAAGCATCAGTGTACACAGATATATGTGTTGTGGCATGGTTTTGTAAAGCAGTCCTGCAGGATTTGGAAGACAGCATTTGAATTTTGAATTTGATCTTTTAGAGCAATATACTCTTTGTTACTTAAATATGATTCTAACAGGTTGGAGAGTACATAAGTATTGTATATGATCTTAAAGCAAAAACACATTGATCATCCTTCAGTCTTTAAATCCAAAGACTGGCAAAGCTGAAATTGGCAGAATAGTTTCATTTTTATTATTATTATTAGGCTACCACATGCATCTCCAATGTTTTTTTAATTTCCCACATGTGGATAACTATAATAGCCTCCCTCTTAAATTGTAAGCTCTAACGAGCAGGGCCCTCTGATCCCTCCTGTATTAAATTGTACAGTAATTGTACTGTCTGCCCTTATGTTGTAAAGCACTGCATAAACTGTTGGCGCTTTACAAATCCTGTATTATAATAATAATAATAGAAGCACCACAAATAGTGATTTGGTGTACTTTCAGAAAGAGTTTTGTGTAAGGACACTGGGGTTATGTGCTTGGTTTAAACGCAAACAGTGATTAACAGAACTAGCTAGAAAACTAAATCTACAGTATTTACTCTTGAAAAATATGTTTATACCATCATGATCATGGTTATTTTATACCAGTGTGTTGAATGTTATCCACCTTATGTTGTAAAGCTGTATAGGATATTCAGCTACAATAACAAAATTCGGTTCACCCAAAAATATGATACAAAACACTAAAATAATAATAAAGATTGTTTGAAACACCCTAGACGCAAAAAAAAAGTCACACTTTCTCCTCCTGAAAGTCCAAAGTCAAACTAAAACCCTCTTAGCATCTGTGAAATCCTCAAATCAATACAAATTCATGCTACTAATCAATCCACCTTCATGAAATCACTCCTTCGTAATCCACGTGTACCTCAAAAAGAAAAAACTATACATAGTGCATTATCCCTATTTCCTAAAACAAAATAAGTTCAAAACCCAGTGCATAATGTGTGCAAAACGTCTACCCAATGTCCACTTCTAAGTGGCTGTATTAAATACTCTTACCCTATCTAGACTTGTGTATAGCTTTAAATCTCATTCCATGGCAAAATTCCACAAAAATTGGTGCTCCAAATGCGTCCTTCCCGCCATAAGGAATACCTCCGAAAAAACGTATAATAGTGTAATATCCTTTGGTATATATTATTAAGTGCTCTCCTCTTCCACAACACTAGTGCAACGTGAATCCATTGGCCACAATCTTCCAAACCATGCACCTTACCGGACTGTACAATCTGTAAAGTGGTCTGGTATAGTGTAGTAGATTGATGTGTATGTTGGTTGATAGTCATCACTGACTGTAAGCCAGTGTATTTCACACCTTGACCCTCCTGTAAATATAGCTAATTGTAAAATTCTGCTCGTACTTAAGCTCAGTTGTGTGAATTTACAAGCTCTAGCACATTCTCATGCATTTATATATCAGTGTACACAAGCATGGGATATATTTTATTATGGAGCTTATTAAAGGTGCAGTCTAGCAAAAATTGATCATTAGGTCTTAATTTCATAGATGGACAACAACCTGCGTCCTTAATAATTCAGTTTTTCATCTATATTGTATTGCACCAGTCTTGTTCATTCCTTTTTGAGGGTAAGTTAATGATATTGGAACATACCCGCTGGTGAAGCGGGAACACCCTCCTTGCTGCCTCTCACATAGTTAAAGTCTAATCTAAAAACAGTCAGTTCTACGATGTTACTCACAGTCACCAAATAGAATGAAACCTGCTTTAGAACTTTGAATGTGGTTAGTGATCCAGAAAGCAAAGACGGGTGAAGTTATACTACACAGGCTTCAGGAAATAAATTCCTATTGTCCTCTTAATGCAATAGCCACCAGTAAAATTACCAAGGTTCACAGCAACGGAAATTTGTTGGGCACCATGGTTAGGCAAATGAAGGAAATGTCCAACCCCACAACCTGATGCATGCATTTTAGGTATAAAAAAGCTCTACAATTCCATAGCAAGAAGTCTTGGGAAATTTGTATGCTAGTAAAATGCCTTTGGTCAACTGGTATGTGGTATAGATGCTGACCTGTGAATTTTTACCAAATCTAATATGTTGAGAAAACTACAAGGGAGAGATCAACCTTTAGTAACCCTTGCATCAAAATAAACAGTGGTGCTGCTCTTAAAGTATAATTTTGGAATAAAGCTAACTAATCTTAAAAATGTTCCCTTCTTCTTCCTAATACTTAATCTAACTAGCCTATGTAAAAAAGACAGGTACTCAGGCCAATCTGGTCCACTCATATGATCTCCCCTGTGTCAGCCAATACCAGCTGCAGGGGAAAGGAGAGAGCACTTGAAAACTGCTGGTAATGCCTGAGTGATGACATCACCTTTAGGCTTACTATGGCCCATCCTCTGCCTGTGCTCCCTCCTCTTCCCTGAAGCTGCTGCTGGCTAACACAAGGGAGACAATCATATGACTAGAGCACCCAGAAAATAGGTAGGTATACAGATCTTTCTCACCAGGATTAATTAGTATAGATGTTAGCAGCAGGAGGGGACAGTTTTAAGATTAGTTCACTTTATCCCGTACTTCTACCTAAAGTTTCAGGGTCTGCACATCTGCTACTTTAATTATAATAAATTCTAAAACACATAGGGAGGCAAGTGCTGACTTGGATCAGCAGAATGCTCAAATAACATATAATAATAATAATAATAATAATAATAATAAAAAAAAAACAGAACTTTTGGTAGGACTTACCATGCCAAAGAGGGAGGTACTGACAAAGAGAAAAATCATGTTTTCAGCCTTTCAAAAGCCAAAAACGTGAAGCGAGGAGGGATTACAACCACTGCACGTTTTTTTTTTTTGCTGTCTAGGATCCTTCTAGGGAGAGTCACTCTATTTAATTGTCCTGGTGATCACTTTTATGGGACTAAAAGTGAAAATAAATCCAAAATTTTACACAATGTCAGGAATAGAGGGCACATTTCTGATGGGTACACTTTGTCTGGTGACAACTGTCTGAGAGGAGAGTTTCCTCATTTTGAAAAAATGTCTTCTATGACACCCAGATGTAAAAAAAAAAAGACAAGGTTCACAATCATTTCCTATTAAGCACTGAATCTTACATTAAGATTCATCCTCCTAGGTGCCCCCCTCCCATTATGTTGTATTCGCAGATGTGTCCATGGGCTCTGCGCGGTCATCAGCACATCTGCAAACATGAAGGTGTTTTTCCGCACATGCGCAAAAGATAGTGAAGGTTTTAAACTTCCCCGGTAGCATTCTTTTTGCTACCCCATGATTCAGGGGGTATTATTTCTTTATCTATTTTGTGGATATATTAGTCTTTATTATATTGTACAGTATGTTGATAAGGCCTTTTTATTTATTTATTCCTATAAGGTTTACTTTTATAAAAAAAAAGGAAACTTTTGTTTTATGAGTGTTTGTTTTTAGAGCCTTTATAACAAACTGTTAAACTAATTTTTTTCTGCTGTAA